ACACACAGACAACCTCTCGTCAATATGCGTTTTTTGCATTGCATTGCTGCAAAAAACGCATAATATAGCGGCGCGCATCAGATCAGCTGCTGCGATCATGCGTTTTGTGCAGTTCTGTCCACCGAGTGATTGCCTGCTATTGATTTTCACTGCTTTGCACTTTCATCTGTGCAAAAATAGTTGAAATGTTGCCTGGTCCTTAAGCTATGGAATTTCCCACTAAAAGTTCACGTACCAACAAATGAAAGCTAAATTTGAAACTTCGAGGATGAATATCTTCCGAAATTTCAATCTCCTAATTTTTTAGCTTCCGAGTGGTTTTTGCGACAAAATTTTTACGTGGTCATACGTGAGGCCTCGGCATACTTTGGAATTGACAAGCACCTGCTTAGGCAGGAAGCACCCTCCTGAAATTTTCGGCCTCCTGGCTCTTCTGGCTCCCGAAGTAATGATTTTTCTCGCCAAAGCCTCCACGAGGACGTTGAAAATTAACAGTCGTACATAGGCAGGGGATGCCACGCTAAAATCTCAAATTCCCAACTTTCGTGATTCCCGAGACAATTTTCGCCGTCGAAAATTTCACGGGACCATAGGTTGCTAAATTTGAGTTAGCTCGGGGACGCTGAATTTGAATTTGCGCTATCGTACGTGGCATGAGGTCGTTACCCTAAAATTTGAGCGTTCTGGATATCGTGGTTCTCGAGATAATAATTTCCCTGCTAAAAGTTTCACGGGACCGCATGTGATACCCGCAGGCACGGGAAGGCTGAATTTAAATTCGCGAGACCGTACGCATGAGGGGGCCATTCCCCTAAAGTTACAGCTTCGTAGATTTCATGGTTCCCGAGCTAATATTTTACTCGCTAAAACTTTTACAGGGTCGCGCGTGTTACCCGCGGGCAAGAGAAGCTTGAATTTAGATTTTCTGGGTCGCACTTGGGTATGGGGTACATACCCATAAAATTTCAGCTTCCGGGCTTTCGTGGTTCCCGAGATAATAATTTTACCGCCAAAACTTTTGCGGGGCCGTACGATTACCTGCGGATAATGGATTTGAATTTGTGGGTCACGCATGGATGGGAAATACACATCAAAATTTTCAGTTTCCTAGCTCTTGTAGTTCCAGAGTTGAAAGTTGCAGACAGGTTGCTGCGGATGCACACACACACACACACACACACGCACACACACACCACACATACACACACACATACACACACAGACAACCAACCACGTGACAATATGCGTTTTGTGCAACTGTTACACAGCGCATAAAAACAGTTTCACTTAGCAGCAAACATATGCGAGAAAAACTACAAGAAACGCATGTTTGCAGCAGTAGTCCTGATGCGGCGAGCCAAGTGGGTTTATAGTTTATGAACTGTAAAGTCCATGTCCATGTCCTCCAGTTCTTTCAGGTTTGTCGTCGATGGCACAATGTTTTATTGGCGCCTGGCTTCTGGATCAGTTATTTAAAGTACCGATCACTTCCACTACCTCCGCTTTCACTGCGAAGCGCCCCGGAATTGAACATGAAAAAAGTTGCATTACTTCGACCATTTGGGAGAAATTTGATCGTTAATCCAAGTGGTGAAGATGGTTTCAAGGGTTGGAACGTAGAGATGAAGGGCGGCGATGGGTAAGCGATTAAAGATTTTCAAAGTCAGGGATTGTAACTGCATTTTTTGTCGTATAGTTGACAGTGGCCGAGCAAAGCATGTGAAGCTGCTATCCTTCTTTCGATGCATCGATTCTGTCGTCGTGTTTCTCGTCACCAGTACCTCCATTCCTTGTTTTGAGCCTGCGGCATCCAAATGAACTTTTGGGGCTGGCCAGGTATTCCTCCATCTTATTGACGGCCATTCCATTGTTCTTCAACACCACGTAGTAACACTGAGTGAACGGCGCTGTTATTTGTTATCTCCACCTCTCCTGTAATGTAATCTGCTTTCTTTGTTGTGCACGCCAATTTTTTATGTGCCTTTTGCATCTATGCAATGCAAAAACACATATTGTCGGGGGTTATCTGTGTGTATGTGTGTGTGTGCGTCTGTACCGATTTTTCATCTGAAAACCTATAAAAGCTACAGGTCTGAAAGTTTGGGAACTTAATCTACATGCACATACGGACTCCAGTCCCCAAAGTAGGCGCTCTTATCCACTTGGTTTCTACGTATGGGCCTGTCAAAGTTTTTGGCGGATAAGCCGCTAACTCAGGAATCGGACAAGCTAGAAAGCTGAAATTTTAAGGGTATGTTTCCTGACAGTTTCCTGGCCAGTTTCAATTCTTTCAACTGGAAGTATCTGTCGGAAAAAGAGTGCCATTGGCGACAAGAACCTGCGGGGAACTATGCAAAAAACGCATCCTTGCACCAGCAGTCGGTGCGCTAACCATTTATTGATACAACTGCGATTCTGCATTTGCCGGCTATAGTTCTGATTTTGGCCTTTGTTCTACCGAGTTGATTTTGGCGAGGAAGAGGATTTGAAGAAAGCGTCGTATTAAACTTCTTAACGAAGTATTCGATGAAAATTCATTAGGTTTTCTTAACGGCGCTCGATCATTTCTTCGAATTTGATTGCGATTCTAATTCTGAAATAAAATCGACGAGCAAACCATAACATAGGTCTAGTCCAGATGTTTTTTTGCTCGGCGTTTAAGTAACACAGCACTGCAGTGACCTGGCTGATCGTAGATGTGGGTGAAGTTTGAAGTGCGGCAATAATTCAACAGTTGCAAGAGTTTTGATATTATAGAGCAATGATTTGAAGCTGCGTATAAATTTGGCAGTTACAAAATTTGAAAATTTGAGGACTTTGGTTACGTGGCAGTTGTGTACTTGGGGTTCTCGAGTTGTGAAGTTAGCTTATACGGTATTTTTCAAATTCTCCGGAAGTTTTGAGTTGGACTTTGCGGTTTTTGAGGTCATATCTTGTGGGTTTATCTCTTTGCGGTTTACTCGATTTACGAGGTTAACATGGAATGTCGTAAAATGTAACACTTTAAAAGAGTACTCACATCAACTGCGGGTTGTTAATTTAACCAGATTCTGGAAGTTGAGGATTGACCGCTTCTGAGGGCATAAATTTTCCGAAAAAAATTTGTGAAAAAATTCCAAGAATGTGAACTTTTTGAGCTGATTTTAGTGACCCCATGGAGGTACTGCACAGTCCTCAGAATAAGTACATCCCTCTTCGCATTCACAGAAAGAGATATTTTTATAATCATTGCGCTGCCTTACTGGTCTTACTGATTTTTCCCATAGTTTAGAAGAAATGTTTCGAAAATCCTTCGTTTTGGCTTTCTTCTTTGTTGTATTATTGGCCTTTGTCTTTAAGAATGCATTGAGAACTTTGTAGAGAAGGTGCTGTAAGCTTCGAGAACATCTTTGTGAGCAAATAAATCACTCAGTGAGTGCATCGTGTTCCCCAAGGAGAGATTGCCAGAATTGTCCGTTTGAGGAGAACCGTGAAAAATCTACGCAGCAGAAAATTTGTAAAAGGAATTCAAAGTTTTCGGAGAATTTTGTGACAGTTTACTTAAAAAACGGTGAAACTCAGTAAAGAATATTATAAAAAAAGTGGATAATGTAAAATTTTGTTAATAATTAATCATAAACGCCAAATTTAGTGTTAAAATTCTGAATGCCATGCAAAAAAAGACCCGCGGAAGAATGGCCAAAAACTGATAGCATATTCGTTTCGTGAGCAGACGGGATTGATGGCGTTTCTGCCCACTTTTTCTTAAAAACTACTCAGCCGCAAGGAGTATTCAGTGATTGTGCTTTACAGCTTCAAAATTGAGAGACCACCGGAAGGTTGTGCGAATTACATTGGCATGGAGAATGTTTCGGTTGCATTTGCCACGAGCTATCATTGGTGCAGAAAATATCAAATAATCGATCTGTGCAAAGAGGGAATTGAGGTAAGTAATGTCTTCTGGTACAACATTTCATAACGTCATTTGTACCCGGCAAGGTTTTTTTGTTGTATCGTAGCTGCCGCTTACTTGTCACTACCACGTAGAAAAGTACTCATCAAAGAAGGGCAGCAGTGGAGTAAAGTTGATTATTTGATATTTTCCTCGTCTGAAATAGCTACTGGCTTGCTCTTTCATGACTTCACTCCCTCCAGATTTATATTGTACTAGTCCTCTGTTGCCTTCCTTTGTTTCGCTTTTGAAAACTATCGTTATTTTTAGTCACTCTTTTAAGTTTCGTAGAGAAAAAAGCGTTTTCCTACTCTTTTGCGTTTTGTGCTGTGTAGCAGCGTTACAAAACTCATATTGTCACGGGGTTGTTTGTG